AGCACAAGGCACCACTTTAATGACCTCTCCCATGAGTTTTGTGCTGAGATCATGATCCTCAGAGGCTGAGACAATGTTGAGGAAACCACTCAGCAAGTCGGAGTCAAACTCCAAAGTTGCTTGACTGTTAGTGAGTCCCAGTGAGGGGCACTACTGAGAAAGCATCCCCAGCATCCAGTTAGAGCAGAAACCTGGACGCAGAGATGACAGATCAGGAAAATCGATGTGAAGATCCTGTGATGCTGAATAAACCTGGATGTGTTTCATGAATCCAAAGGGCCAAGCCCTGACTCCCAGCTCCTGAGAAGGTGGACCCTGTCCCTCTCTGATTCCTCAGGGCTCTTCCTGGGTGTGGAGATGTGCAAGGACAAGGGCAGGGCTGTGGTCTGACACCTCCCAGACTCCTAAATTTGGACAAGGAGCCAATGGGGTCCCAGTGCTGGAAGGATCAGTTGTCTCCCCAGGCATCAGTGGTAGACAGCCATAACCAAGCACTGAAGCAGGGGGCTTTCAGCTTTTCCATATCCCTCTGTCATCTCCACCTCAGGCTGACCTACGGTGTCACATCTCCTGTGCCTACTTCCCTGCAGGCTGTAGTCATCCACCCGGCTGCCCCACCTTACTGTCACCTTCCTTTACTGGTGTCTCTCTGTCCTGCCTGGTTGTGCCTTGAAACACAAAGCCTTGGGCACATCCAGACTCCTGCTGGGTCATGTGTTGCCCCACAGCTCTTCCCCTCTCTTGAAATTTCTTTCTCAGGCTGCTCCTACACTCTCCTTGGTCTCCACAGCATCGAGTCCCGGGCCCTCAGCCTCTGTGTACTGACCATGTGCTTGAGGCATCTAAAGCTCATCCTTGGAGATGTCTCAACACTCTCCAAGGTGTTTGCAGATGAAACGGTAGTGGTCATAGTCCAAGAGAGAGGACTGAGACTTTGCGTTGTCTGGACTCCTGGGTGAAGTTCTGGTAAGGCCTAATACTGTTTTTTACATGAGAGGTGTAGAAGAAGAGAAAGAAGATGGAGAAATGAGAGAATAAGTGTTTTGTATAATTGGAAATAAACCTTATTTTTTATTTTTTATTTTCCATAATTTTGCAATAAGGTGTTGTCCTGGGTTTATCTAAAACCCCATTTCTGTTTAGTGATTTTTACTTTCCAGTTTAGTCTCTTCTGAAAGTCTGCACTTTCTGAAGTCAGCAGCATGTTTGTGCAGACAGTGCCTGCTACTGGCAGTGATAACACCTGATGTTTACAGGCACTGCCTGGGACTGGGATGCAGAAAGGCTCTTCCTTTTACTTATTCCTACAGTGCCAAAGGCACTTGTGTGCCACGCTGGGGGTGACGGGTAGTAAGAGGGGTCACAAGGAAGTAAAAGGTTACACCTCCGGGGGGTAATAGACAGGAGAGGTGACCAATCAGTATATTCCATCCCATATACATCATATTTAGTATAAATTGGGGGATTATGAGAGTTTCTGCCTTCTTTGCGCTTTTTCTGCAAAGACCGGTGTCCAGAGAGGACTCCATCTGACCTCCTGCTTTTCGTCTGGATCCTGAGTTCCCAAATCCAGCTCCCTGTATCCAGCTCCCACGGCCGCTGAACCTGGGGCCTTCCCAGTGCCTCCTGCTCTGCAGCATCAGTGGTGATTGCTATCGGGGGATGGAGTCGGGGTTGATATCAGGCTACTATCTATAGTTGTATATAGTTCTTTACTTTTATGATTCCACTAGTATTTCTATTATTAGTTCACTAAAGCTGTACTAGTTTTTTTTTCTTCTCTAACCCGAAAGTCTCTCTGCTTCATTCTCTTTTCCTTCCCATTTGGGCAGGGGGGAAAAAGGGGTTGGAGAGCGTTTGTCCGTGTTAGTGGTTGGCCCAGCCCTAACCTACGACAGATGTTTACTTTATTTTCCCCTTTATGTTTTAACACGTGGGACATTAACCCTTAAAAAGATGTCTGATCATTTATTGGTACAATAGTGGCAGGTCAAGGGATAACGCTTTAAAAGTGTGGATTCAGATTGGAAAAAACAAGAAAATATATTATGATGAGCATAACAAGAGACTGAAACAGGTTGCCCAGACAAGTGGATGCCTCATCTCTGGACGTATCTCAGGTCAGAAACTTTGAGCTACGTGAACTAGTGTGAGATGTCCCTGCCCATGGCCAGAGGGTTGGCGTAGATGCTCTTTTATGTCCCCTCTAACCCAAACTGTTTGTTGCACCAAAAGGAGAGGCACCAGTTCCTGTTGCTAACAAGAGGCAACAATTTCTTTTGCAAAAATGAGGTGCCAATTTCAGTTGCGTTAAACGAGGCAACAAGTGCTGTTGCCAAAAGGCTTCTATCAGTTTGGCAGAAGCTAAACCCTTGTGTGTTCCAGCTTGTTCTCAGATATCAGAGGGTCTGGGCCCAGCTAGGCTTAGGTTCTGAGTCATGCCCAATTCCATGTTACTAGCATAACATGCCCAACTGCCTTCGATCTAACAGAGCCCCTAGAATTACGAGGCCAGCCTTCACAAGGGTGGCCATATTTTTGATCTGACAGCACCCCTGGAATTATCAACAGGGACTCAAACGACCATATCGGGATCAAATACAGTTTCTTTAGGCAACAGATACACAGATCCGTTTTGATTGCCGGTGATGGTAATAGTGACTGCAAAGCATGTGTGAAAGTTACAGATGTAGTAGATTATGAGCAGCTCTAGAAAGATTTCCTAAGTATCCTGGGGCAGCACTTGGTGAGACCAAGTTTTCGGACCTTACCCAAAGGCGTCCCTGTGGGAGGGAAGAGAGATTCGAACTGTCGAGCGATCCCTTTCAGGTGGAGCTTGAGTGACTCTAGTCATGCATATCTTTACTAAGATTGGTGCAAATTTTCCTCACTTTGCGTTTAAAGGTATAGACTAGAAAAATTCTATGTGCAAGCTCAGTGAGAGGTGGTCGCACTGGGAAGACAGGTAGCTTTTGGGATGGAGGTGTGTTTTGGTATTGTAATGAAATCATAATGAGCATAGTTCACCCAAGGATGGCATCTATCAAAAGATGTCAGACTCTTGGCCCAGGATAGTAAATGTGCAGAAAAATGGCTCCCTGACGTCTCCAAATTCCTTTGTTTTCACAGAGCTTGACCACGGTGTT